CAGAGGCCTTCAGGAAAGCCTTGCCAGTTTGTCCGGCTACAGAAGAAATGGGCCGGCAAGACAGGTATCAGGGTATGTGAGACCTGGCTACAACTGTGCAAAGGTAAGTAGTAGGGCAACTCTACCCCCCATTCCCATCCTAGCTTAATTTTTATCCATCCACTCTGGAGTGGGCGGGATCTTAATTGGGGCTTATTTTAGGGGTAGGGCTTATATTGGGCGCATGTGTAAAAATCAAGCTAGGACTTATTTTCAGGGTAGGTCGTATTTTCAGGGAAACGGGAAGATGGCCTCTTTGATCCATCTTTCAAACTAGCGGTCCTCTCTGTCCAAAATGTGAAATTTGCTGTGCTCTCTGAATATAATTCAATGTAGTGGCTATTACTTTTAAAAACCCTTCATGGCATATGGCTTGGTTATGTGAGAGATTGTCACTTTCTCATCATTTCTATCTGCCCTATAAGATAGGACAAAGTGGCACAATTCATGCCTCATTCACTAATCTCTGACATCTGATGGGATCTAGAAAGCTTTTGTCTTGCAGTGCTTGATCTTTGGAATAGCAAATCTGCCCCCCTACAGTTGAGATTGGCCCAATCCTGCAAGCTTTTAAATGAACTCTGAAATCATGCCCCAAACACCCACAAGCTATGGAATAAGTCCAGCTATGCATATCTGGTGTGGTATCTATTTCAGTTAGTGAATATCTTATTCCTCCATTATATTTACTGATTTTGTTTTGTTTTAGGCACTGTGTTAATCTGTATACTGTCCAGAGACAGTGTTGAGTGGGCAATCTTACAAATATAAATTTTAAATAAGTAAACATGTTTAAATTTTGGGAAAAATCTATCAGTGTTGTATATTTACTCAGGAAAATTATATGTTTTTCATGTTTATTGATTTGCAGTGGTTTCGATAAATTGTTAAACTAAAATATATTCAGAGACTGAATTGATATCTGCCATCACATATAAAATGCTTATAGCTGTAGATACTTGTGTTATTCATATGGGGTATTTGCAGTTTTAAAACACTGGTTATATCAAAGTACAAGAATGTTGTGCTGTATAATTTGGGGGCTCAATACAAAATGCAGCATAAAAATTACCATTTCTTCATTATGAATGATTTCTACTCTACCTCCTTGGACACAACTATAAGCTTGAATTCCCACTGCATCTAATTTATTATTACTGCTGTAGATATTGTTTTGTGTTACATTACATAAAGTATTTCTAGAAATATATTGCAAAAACCTACAGGGGAGGAAATGGCAAAATAAAACTGCTTTGGAAGTTATTACATTTTTATAATAGACTAGCACATTATTCCCATAGAAAAGCACTTTAAGAAAATGGTTTGGGTATTTTCATCATTTTTTTTTTGCAAGCCCATTTTATTTAGACTTTGTGCTGGCAACTTGGAACAGATATTTCAAATAAATTACATATGATGTTCTAGTACATGACCTAATATGCTTAATTTCTTCAATTAGCATCACCTATGAATGAACTCTTTCATCAGAAACACAGGAAATAGATGTTTTTCCTTCCATCTACTTTCAATTCTGAAAGCAGAGGAACAGTTTTCCTACCCAAATTAAAATTAGATAACTTCTTAGAAACTGCTTGTATAATCAGAAACTGATTGCATTCAAGTTTAGGGGACTGATTCCAATATGTACATACTGTAGCGAACTCCTTTTCAACACTTTCTTCTCCACTGGGAAGATCTAAATAACTTTCATTTAAAGATGCTTGGAGACAGACTTGCAAGACTGGAATTTTCAAGCTACTTATATAATATGGGCAGTTGCCTATTGAGAATTATTTTTTTAAAAAAAATCTATATTTAAATATATCTATAATTTAAAATGATATATGACATGGGTGAAGACAGAGCATTTAATAAATACTGAAATACTGCTTTGGTTTGGCTGTATTTGCTAATGACAAAATTCCTTCAATCTGAGGAAGGAGACATATGCATCCATTAGAAATTTGTATTCCTAGCAACTTTTACGCTATGTGGTAATCCTTTATTGAGACTCACAATAGGTTATGCAGCATTCATGTGTTGAGATTACAGACAGGTCACAAGCAGTAGCATAATGCAATTGATGGCTCCCCTGCCTGAAATATGTGAGAAATCTTAATACTATTGTACCATTACTTATGAAAAATAAGTAGTAATATCCTTACTTATTATATTCTACTCACAATAATCTTTTGTTAATGTTACACTTTATGCTAGGTTAATAATATCAATGGTTCTTTTTTCCTGCTTTGCAAGTTCAAGATGCTAATGCCATTTTCCATAAGCGCAGGCTCATTTTTCTGTGCACAAATATTGGTCTAATCCTGTTAATTAGAATGGATATCATCTAATAAACAGGGATCTACATAATTATGTGCAAGTGAAATATAAAATTGAAAATCTTTATGAAATCTAGATTATATAGAATTAGGTAGAATAAAGTAATTTGGAATCTTTGATTGCTGCTATAAAATGGCTTGCTGTATTCATTTGTAATGTTAAACCTGAGATAAATATTACAAATGTAAAAAGAATGCATTTTTCCTTCCACAGGAGGACCCAGACTGCCCTTGCGTATGCCCAAAAGCATGGAGTACTTCACATACTATGCAACTGGCATGCATTTTAGTTTGGAATCTGCTCAGGGATGAAATTCTTGGCTAAAGCTCTGGAAATTCTGATACTGCAAGAGAGTCAGGCTGCTTTAATCAGTGATGACATAAAAAATCACTTCCTTTTAACAATGCCATGCTATTGGCTTTGTTACTTTCTATTGATAATGTTAATTGTTACTTTCAATTGATAATCTCAACAGGGAGTCTTTTAGAAACTAAATCATCATCACCGTTTTTACCATATTTGTTGAGGGTACGTACTACATTCATTTAGAAATATTCCATAAAATGAAGTATATCATCAAATGGCATACAATTAATACGCTGAGTGTGCATACTGCACATAATTTAAATGAGATGCTTCTGTATTGGCTTAGAATTTTATTGCTGATTCATCTCGTATTAGTACTTTTGGCAAAAAGTATAAAAGGCTTAACTGCATCTTGATGGTTGTATGCTTCACACAGAAAACTGCAGAATCTTCTAACTTCAGTAGACAATTTTAACAACTAGCCATGAGAAAACAATATTTCAATCAGAGCTGAAGAAGCTTCTTGGATGAGAAGTGAAACGTCTTCAAAGAAAAACAAGAAAGTCCAGTTGCCTCTTGAAAAAAACATCCTTGGGACAACCATAACCTGGATGACTGAGAGTCTCCATAGATATTCAATCATTAAGCCAAATTCATTTCAACCCAATCACTTAAAAGGCCTTGAGTTTGGGTGGCATATGACCTCAGTAGTTGACAACAGTTGATAACATTCAGCAGAATTAATGAGATTGTGCAAAATAAAGAATAACTGGTGACATGGTCTGTACTGTAAAAAGTAATGTTGTCCAATAATCATGTATCCCTAACACTTTCTTTTGTTGCGAGAATGAATTTTATGAATATAGTTATAAAATAAATGATGTCCATGGATTAGTGTCTTGATCAGGGAAGACAATGTAACTGATAGGTCTTATTAACTAAACCTTCAAGATCTCAAATAGGCATGGAAAACTTCAAGTAGGCATGGAAAACCTTTGGGCAATTCACAATGATCTTAGTTGAAACCTCTTTCCAATCCACACTTCCTTTGTTTTCTTATTCGGGATATTTATATTTACTTCCATCACTTCATTCTTGCCTTAGGTTTCCTATCATACAGATCATAGTTTTCAAGACTTTTATTGCCATGTTTTCAATCCCCCTTTATGCTTTCTATGTAAGAGATGAGAGCAAACTTAAGATTCATCTCTAGTGTTATGGCCTTCTATAAACCTGTGGCTCAAAATGGAGACCTGATACCAGCTCTAACAGACTGGGGAGCCATCAGGCAATCAGACAATTGCGGCAGTTCAGAGTCAATGAACCAGAACAGGTGAAATCTAACTCAAATCATAGGGGGCTTGATCCAGAATCCTAGTCCAAAAATATATCAACAATTATGAAGGGAAGCACTGAAGTAGTCAGCTATTTTCCTCAAGAGATAACTCCCTAATTATGTTATGCCAGGAACCAGGGCTATGTAAGAGTTGTTGTTGGAAACTGCTTCCTGTTTCAGGACAGGCATGCCATTGGCTTCTTGTTTTTGTCTCCTTGCCAGACAATCTGAACATCTGGTTATAATCCTGGACTCAATTCCTGGATTTCTCTGCCCTGGCTATTCTCTGTGGCAATTTGCTCTGGTTAAAAGGTAAGTACTTACCTTCTCTGTAAATGGCTCTTATTTACAACGTCTCAAAGTGCTATGTCTGCCCCTTAACTCTTGCATAAGCCCCCCCCCACCCCTTCCCCCGTTAAACTACACAATTATTGCTTGGGTGAATATCGGGGATATTCTGTCTTTGAGTACTATAGACAATCAGGTTTAAATTTACATGTTCATGTATATGAAACAGTTGTGTAAACATAACTTCAAGCACCTCAGAGGCTACATACCTTAATGGGGTGACAGTGACCACTGCGTGTGGACTTCTGTGCATCTGCCAAAACAGGTTCCTCCATCTTGGAGAACTGAAGTACCATTTCCCCATTTTTTCCTAGCCTAAAAATAGCTTTAAAGATGTCTGCTTATGACAAATGAATAGTCCATTTAGTATGTATGAGCAGATTATTATTATAGTTACTTTATAGGAGTAACTAGATGAAGTCACAATAAGAAGTGAAACAAGTTAATATTTACCCTGAGATGGGAAAACTAAATGCATATTCAAAGCAGTATTAAAAGTTTGCTTTTCCTATGACAGCATTGATCTTGTAGGAAAATAAAGTGTATGAATACAACCATTCATCCAATTGTCATGACTTTAATGCCATTTAGATTCTTGAAATCATTTCAGAGAAAGATTGGATCCCTTATCTTTCTTTAAAAAACATTTTTAAGTCCTACATGAAATATGCTTTACTATTATGAAAACCTGAAGATTTATTTTATTTCTTCTTCAGCCGCTGAATGTTTTTCAGGTTCTGAGCTTTTAGTAGCCTCTGTAGGAGCTATATGATTAGAACCAGTGTAATGTTTTGAAAACCACATGTAATCATTCTTAGGTGCAGAATGTAGAGCAATGCATTTATCAATATGGTTTTTAGGATACCGACCTAGAATGGAATGTTTAATATCTGGATATTGGACAAATGAAGTCTGATAAACAGAATGGTAGGCATTGCTGCTAGGAATTTGTTCATGGGCCAAAAAATAGTAGTTTTGAGAATAGTGTTGACGCTTATCTTGAAATTTTCTTACTCCTAGTCCCTAAAAGAAATGAGGAGAAAGCATTATTTTAGAATGATATTTAAGATAGCATGTTCTGTATTATGTTAAAGCACCATCAGGAAAGACTTTACTAAAAGATCTTGGCTAGCTTGTTGATAATTAGTTACAAACTATTTCTCAAATTCATTCTCATCTGATACTTAGCAAAAGTAAGTTCTTGCAACCTCATTGCAGTAGAAGGGCAGTAGAAGTACTGCATGTTCATAAAAACATGTATCTTGGCAAGACCAATCTCTTTTCCTCAAATGTGAAAATGTGTAATTCCTTCACTCGTTACTGAATAGATGCAGGTAATACATTTTTAATATGTATATGTTTCTAACTAAAGAGTGCAAAGCAGTTCTGGTAAGTACAGGTAGTCTTCAACTTCCAATAGTTTGTTTGGTGACTGTTCAAAGTTATGACGGTACTGAAAAATGTGGCTTATGACCATTTTTCACAGTTACCACCTTTGCCGCATCCCCATGGTCATGTGATCAGATGCTTGGCAACTGGTTATAACTGCTGCTGTGTCCCAGGGTCATGTGATCACTTTTTACGATCTTCTCACAAGCGAAATCATTTGGGAAGCTTAATTTAAAATTTGCCGTGGTTCACTTAACAAATGTGGTAAGAAAAATCGTAAAATGGGCCAAACTCACTTAAGAAAATTCTCACTTAGCAACATATATTTTGGACTCAATTGTGGTCATAAGTTGAGGACTATCTGTATACATATGTCTCTGCATTTTCAAGAACTAAATAAAGATCCTCTAGTACACGGATGTCAAACTTGATCGCGTCACATGATGTATCGTGACATATTGTGACATTTTTTGCCTCTGCAGAACCAGGGTGGGTGTGGCCTGTGCATGATGCATCTGGCTCACAGACCACCAGTTTGACAGTCCTGCTCAAGTATGTCTCAAATTTTGGGGAAATATGAATTGCCCTAATATACCTAAATTTCTACAAAAGAAAATTAACAGCCTATAACTTGATATATAATCAAGTTTAGTTATGTGGCATAACATTTCAATAAGCTGTCATCAATTTTGCCATTCAGTTTAGAAGAAGGAAATTCTGTAATACAGAATGAATCTAAACATTTCCATAATACATTACATACCTTACAGAGAATTATTAAAGAGTATTTTAAAGAAAATACCATTAAAACAGAATACTTACAGAATCTAAATACTCTCCCATAGACAATAAACAATGTCTATTGTCATGGATTGAAAATGGAAATGTATTTACTGGTTTCTAAAAGAAAATGAAAAAAAGTCTTGCATATTTATACATAGGGTCATAGTTTTCATGTTTACAGAAATTAAAATTATATGCATATATATAAATATGTCTGATACAAACCTACTTTTTCTATTAGTAAAGAATGTACACTATATTAACAACAGAATTTAATTTAATCTCATCTTATGCTTGCAGAGCTATTGAATTAAATCAACTTTATTTTTATGGGAACAAATTACTAAAATAATTTCAAGATATCTTTTAGCGGCTTACTACTGAGTCCACTGCTAATAAAAACTCAGCTTCAAGAGGAAACTCTTAATTAAATCAACCTGAGATTTATGAGCTCAGTACAAAACACTGATACTATATATTAAATGGCAGATTAAGTATTTAAAAGGACTAAATCCCAAATCTAGAAAACATATGGATGCATGTTATATTTTATTATTTGCCATCTCCTTGGTTTTGCTCTCCTCACTAAACAAAAGCAAAGAAAACTCTAGTTTTCTTTGAAACAAAGTCAACACATTTCTACTTTCCAATAAGACCCTAATAATGTTATTATTCTTAATTTAGAATCATAGAATTAAATAAGCCAAGCAGTGTATTTACCTGAAAAAAGAATATTTTTGGTGTTCAAAATATAACCAGAATATAGACCAGAAAATGCAATGTATCTAAATCTTCTCAGGGTTGTGTTAGGAATTAAAGGACAACAAACACTTGGAACCAATACATTTTTAATTTTTTGTAACTAATATTTTTAAGATATTCCACCTTCAAGTTATTACAGATGTATAAACACAGTACAGTTGGTAAGCCTCTATGTTCTATCGAAATAAGCTATTGGCATTATTTGAAAGCAAAGTTCTGTAAAAGCTTGTCTTGGGCAATGGGATGTGAGTGACTGTAAGTAATGTGACATTCTTTGTCCTTCTTTAAAGAATTGGCATTACTCAGCTAATTAATATGCTGAGCTAATGAACATACATACATACATACATATTACAATCTCTCTCTCTCCCCCTCTCCCCCCCCCCCCCCATGTTTAGGAAACTTACTAAAACTGATTGGACAATTTACTGTGGTGTATCATTAAATTTTGATATATAGAATTCATAATTTTTATTTAATTCAACAATTTTAATACTTAGAATGTCCTTCAGACAGGTTAGTGGATTCAATATCAAATTAAACATATAAAGGGCATTGTACAATATAAAATACAATAAATAATATTCTTTGTTGGCCAAGTGTGACTGGACACACAAGGAATTTGTCTCCAGTGCATAAGCTCTCAGTGTCCATACAAACAACAAAGTAATACAATCGTAAAATACCAATAGTAGACAAGGTAATAAGAAAGATAAGAAGAATACTATAATACAGCCCTACTACATGGGTAAATATCCTTAGACACAAGATAGTGCTGTGGTAATTAAGTGTTCAGCAGAATGATGGCATGTCGTTGTGTATGGTTGTTTTGGCATGCAATGCCCTATAGTGGCATCCTGAAGGGGGGAGTTGAAAGAGTTTATGTCTGGGATATGAGGGGCCTGTAAATACTTTCTCAGCCACTTTCTGGCTTGTCCATTATACAAGTCTGCATTGGAAAGCAGGCTGGTTGCAATTGTTTTTTCCGTAGTCCTAACTATCCATTGAAGTCCGTCCTGTTGGGTTGTTGCACCAAACCATACAAAGAAGTACAAATGACAAATTAATAATTCCTCTATAATCCAAATAATGAAAATGGAAATCCATATTTGGCCTAAGCTTGTCCAAAAACCTCATCTCTACCATACACAAGTTCTTTTCTGCATGCAATGAAATTCTGGACTCCCTTTTTTCTGAATGTGTAACTAAAATATCAATATTATCTGGGCTTTGTCATCCTTTTATAAAAAATCAGATGGCACAATAGACAACTAAAAATCATGTTTTCTGTAATCGACATGCCAAGTTCACTGTACAAATTCTGGCAACAACTTGTATGAAATTGGGAAAACGGTACCACAGCAATAATAAATAAAATAAACAATAAAATCTCCAGCAATATAGGACTGAAAGAAGATCAAGATATTTCTTATATCACTCAACAGGATAGCTATCAGGACCAGGAATTTTTCTGTTTCATATATTTAATATATACCTTTTACTCCCTAAATAGAAAAAGGTGCAGCTTGACTGCATGTAATCTTTGAAAAAGCTCTTTATCTTTTTACAAGCAACCAATTTCTTCCTTGGTAACCTCATTCAGTACTACCTGCTGATTTACTATTTTAGAGTAATTATATAGGTTGTTCTAAGCATCATTAATAGCAGAATTTTTTTTAAATAAAGTTTTTTATTTTTAAACACAAACATACACATACAAAAACATAAAACCCTCTTCCATTTTATATACATACAGTGTCAGTTGGTTACGTATCTTTTGTGCTATACTTTTGTAGTCATTTACTCACAATTTATATCAGTCTAACATTATCAAACTAGCATATGTTTATCTATTTATCAGTTATTAATCATCCATGACTAAACTATTTATTCCATCATTTTATACGAGATGTTCCAAGTTTTATCTTAAAATTTATGTTATACTTTCAAGCAGTGGTTTTATATATACATGTTTTATATATTATGTTTTATATCAATCTATTAGATTTCTATCACAAAATTATCTAGTCTATTATATTACCATGCCTTTTTATCCAACCATTGATAAAACAAATCCCATATTAATTAATAGCAGAATTATTATTACTTAGTTGCTGCTATTTCAGTCAAGAGGTCAATAATTGATCTGGTATTTCATCTCATCTTTCAGCTCACTCCCCATGTTTGCTTTTTTACAATTCAGTGAATATGCTGTATATACTTCACAAAGGAAATTACCGTATTTATCGGCGTATAACACGCACAGGCGTATAACACGCATCTTCATTTTAAGAGGGAAATTTCAGGAAAGCGCCCGTTTCACCCCCACTCCCACCCCCCGCGCGCGCTTCAATCCACAGTGTCCCATTCTGCCTGCCTGCCTTAGTTTCTGGTTGTTTGGGAGCAGCTTCGGCTGAGAATAATAACTATTCGCCTCTTTTACTCAGCCGAAGCTGTTCCGATTCAACCATTAACGAAGGCAGGCAGGCAGGCAGAACGGAGCACTGCGGGCGGGCGGGCGGGCGGGGTGGGGGTGGGGGAGAAACGGGCGCTTCAGGGAAGCCCCCCCCCCCCGCTTCTTTGAAGCAGTTTCTTCCTGTGCTGGTGGAGGAGCGAGAGAGCGACTGAGAGAGCTGACCCAGAGGGAAGGACAGGCTTCGGTTGCTTCCTCCCTCCCCTTCTTTCATTTGTGTCCTTGATCCCCGATCCCAGCAGCATTCACCGAAGGCTTCTTAACATTATATCGGCGTATAACACGCATACATCATTTGCCCCCTATTTTCAGGGGGAAAAAAGTGCGTGTTATACGCCGATAAATACGGTAAGTTCCAATTTCACAGACATGAAAGGTTTATATAATTCCAGCTAACGGTGTTCAGATATATATGCCATAGGGAAGATCCTTCTGTTTCTTTAATTTAAATGATCCCAGATCAATAAACATTTCTGCAATCTCTAGATTGAAAACTTGCCATATCAGAATCCAGGGGAAAATTAAAATCGCAGGGAAAAAAGAAGATATTGTCTTTAATATCCTATTCCATACACAGATCTAAAACATGCATTCCATTCTGATGATCTTGCTTGCGAAGCTACGTATATATGGTCCTGTATTACAAATATTAAAAATATCATAGTAGGATTTGAATTCTGAAGTGAATAGCAATGGAGGCACACACAATTAGCTATTTTAATTTGCAGCTTATATTTCAGCTGCACTAAGAAAAATCTCCCATATAAATTTGTCTCCAAAGACTGATCTTGCTCCATTCCTCTCAGAAGTGTACCTGATGTAAGACTACAAATAATGGAAACTAATATATTACTTGTAACCAATATAGTTTTAACTGTTTGTAATTTATGAAATACTGCAAAAAAGAGAAAGCCATGTAAAAACCTTTTGAAAACCTGCATTTTTCTTTCCTACTATTAAGTATTTCCTATTGCCAATTAATAAACTTTAGTACTGTACCACTTTCTATATGTGCTGCTTTTAATCTCTTCCTTGCATGCAAAGTCATATCTTTAAAAGAACAAGTGTGTAAGATTCAGTTGCTTTTTAGAACCATTACTAATTATTGTATGAAATTGTCAAGTGTGTACCTCAGAACTCAGATGTAGGATCAGATGTATTATTTAAAATATTTATCAGTTGGATCAGAGCCTAAATTTGTATGACTATCAAAAAATAGAAGGGAGATAATTAACGCCCTAGAAGACAATATCACAAATCAGGAGAATCTTACAGTATATGCTAAAACAATGGGTAGAATTAAATAAGATGAAGTTTAGAAGGGACAAATACAAAGTCATACATTTAAGTAGGGAAAATCCAAATCATAAATATAAGATGGGAAGAGATCAAACTCAGCAGCAATATATGCAGTAAAAATCTGGTTATCTTGATACATCATTAGTTGAACATGAGCTTCCAAAAATCAAAAGCAATTCTAAGATGCTTCAAGAGAAATACAGAATCCAAAACTAAATCAAGTTATAATTCTTCCCTATTTTACTTTGATCAGATCACATTTAGTTTACTGCATCCAGTTCTGGGCACATTTTAGGAAGAGCATTGACTAATATGCAGAGAGAAAAGAGAATAAGATAAAGGGATTGGAGAGAAACCACTAAGGAGCAAGTAGAGATACCGGATGTGTTAAAGAACAGAAGAGATATGAAAACTGTTTTCAAATATCTGAAGGGTTGTCACTTAAAAGATGGGACAGAATTGTTCAGATTTGTTCCAGGACATAGGACAAGAAACAATAGTTTTAAAACACAAAGAAGTGGATTTTATAACATAAATAAATATATGTTGGAGCAATAAAAGATCATTCATTTGATAAACCAAT